GGCTTCCGATTGGCCGAGGAGTACGGGCTGGTGGTGGGCGGGGCTGACCCCCACCGCCTTGACCTGGGCGGCCTGGTCATGATCAAGGACAACCACGTGGACGCTGCCGGGGGCGTGGCCCAGGTGAGCTCACAACCCCCCAGTTTGGCCTGGACGCCTGGGTCCTGTTGCCCAGCCCTGCCTCGGTCGCCTGGGTCCCATCCTGGGGTCCTGAACACGTGGGGCCCAGCCCCTCCCCCCCCCCCCCCTTCTCCTCACAGCACCCCTGGGTCCCATCTTCTTGGGACCCCTGTAGGGGAACGGGCAGGGGAGTCCATCCGGGACACTGCGTCCCAACACCCTGGGACCCAAGTGTCGGGGGTGGGGACGATGTCCAGCCCGGACACCTGGGTCCCATCTCCGCCCCCCCAGGCCGTCCAGGCTGTCCGGCGGGTGAGCAGCTTCAGCCAGAAGCTGGAGGTCGAGTGCCGCAGCCTGCAGGAGGCGCTGGAGGCTGCCGAGGCGGGAGCAGACATCGTCATGCTGGACAACTTCGCCCCCGAGGTACTGGCACGGCCCAGAGCCAGATGCATTGTGGGAGCTGTTACATTCACCCCAGAGCCAGCCACTTCCAGGGTGCCCCATGTACCCACCCTTGCTGTTTCCCTGCCCCAGAGCCAGCCACATCATGGGGGCCCCATTATCCCCACCCCAGATCCAGCTGCATCTGGGATACCCAGCCCCTGCCCCACCCCAGAATCAGATGCATTATGGGATCTGTTGTGCCCACCCTAGAGCCAGCCACATTTGGGGGTTCCCCATATACCCGCCCTTGCTGTGTTCCCCTCCAGACAAAGCTGCATTGGAGCGTCCCTGTTATCCCCAGCCCACCCCAAAGCCAGCTGCATTGAGGGGGGACCTCTCGTATACTCGGCGCCTGCCGCACCCCAGAGCCAGGTGCATTGTGGGAACCACTAGACCCACCCCAGAGCCAGTCACATCCTAGGGTCCCTGTTATCCCTAACACCACCCCATAGCCAGCTACATTGCATGGGCCCCAGAGCCCGTGCCTCACCCCAGAGCCAGATGCATTGTGGGAACCATTATACCAACCCCAGAGCCAGCTGCATTGTCAGGTCCCCGTTACACCCAGCCCCCACCCCTGAAGCCAGCTGCATCTGGGTGTCCCTGTTATCCCCAACCCTTGATGCATCCCACCCCAGAGCCAGCTGCATCCACGCCTCTGTTACACCCAGTCCCCGCGCTACCTCAGAGCCAGATGCACTGTGGGAACCTTTATACCCACCCCAGAGCCAGCCACATCCAGGCCTCTGTTATACCAAGCCCCTGCCCCCCCCCAGACCCAGCCGCATGGTGGGATCTGTGACCCCCACCCCAGAGCCAGGCACATCGGTAGGGGCCTGAGCCACCTCCCCTCTCCCTAACCCCTGTCGTTTCCCATCCCACCCC